AAAAAAAAAAAAAAAAAAAAAAAAAAAAAACTATGTGCCTGTTTATTATTAGTACTGTTTATAATCATTCTGTGGGTTTTTTTACAATCAAGTATCACTGGGAGTTTACGAGCATTTAATGGTAGGCAACTGCTTAGGAAAGTGAATTTGTAATTTACATTTAATCTTTAATGGAAGAAGGTGGAAACTCCCTCTTTTCAGGTTATGTTTTTCTATAAATCCAAGATTAACATCTGAGGCATGAACTAACTCTCATCTATCCTCACAGAAAGAACAAAACTGCCATAGCAAAACACATTTAAAATGGCCAAGTTGTTTTATGGGCTTTGACATATTACAATTGGCACATTGAAGGAAACGTGAGCTTTATACTGGGGGATTCCTAATGGCTCCAGGTTTCCTTTGGCTTCATACACATAAACACTTGTAGAATGGCCATGTGCCGTGGTTAACATTCATGAGTTTTCTGTGTGATCATCATTGTTCTCGGTGTGCGGGATATGACAGCAAACGAAACAGACAAAGGAGTGGGGCGTGCATCCTAATGGACAAGACAGAAAATGAGACAAATAAGTTAAAGTATCGGGAGCTTTCCTTGGAGAATAACGAGGCTGAGACCAGAGACAGGAAGCATGTGTAGGGGCTGCCATTTTAGGTTGGGAGGCCAGAATGATACCAACAGCACACACTTAAAATAAATAAATAAATAAACACAGTTTGCTTTTCCAGTGGTGAAATGTTTTTCTGTATTCGGTTCACTCACACATTTTTCTAACTCCCCAGGACCATGCCAAACAATTTAGGGCCAAAGTCCTGCATTTTTGAGTCTGGTTATAATAGGTGTCTAGAGAAACAATTATAAAGATGCTCATACTTCCCTGAAAGGTGTATTTGGGTTTGCAAACGCTAGGACACTTGCGCCCCACCTCTGTCTCACTCACAGAGACTGAGCCTGTCCTCTTCCCAGTGCCATGGAGTCATCATTCAATAGTGGGTTTCGCTCCTGCCCAGGCTTTTAAATCACCATTAATGAATGAAAAAATAAACCTGTCAAATATCCTTATTTATTTATACACTATACTGTGATCTATGTTTCTAAATGACTACCTGATGATAAGGGCCTACTGTTCAGGAATTTTTAGGATGCTGGGTAAATGGACCTTACAATTTGGAGACACAAAATATCAGAAAAACAAACACACAGTTTATAGCAACTAAATTACATTAAACTACATAAAAGGCGGGGTTTTTTTAAAGCCCAATGCTTATTATTATGATGATTAAATTCAAGTGTCTAAAGAATGTTAATATTCTTAGGTTGTTAAACAGACAATAAAATTTGTAAAGCAGCATTTATTAGAAATAGGCTTTCATTGGATTTTAAGATTTATTAGCTAAACAGTTGAGAATCACGAAGATTTACCTTATTGAAAATATTAAACTGCTTTTGAAGGGCTCTACTGAGAGTTTTTCTAAGCAATTTTCTGAGGAAAATTGAATCTATATATCTTGCTAAGCAAAAATAATAATTTTGTAAATAAGATTTTGCCTTTCTTTCTCACTAACTATATTCAAACTAGTTTCAAGATAACTCCCAAGTGATCTTACCCCCTGCTTTTCTTGAATTTCATAGCACAATACCTGGACCTCCTAGGACTATAATGTTTCTGGGAACCAAATTTTTATAGTTCAATATTTAAAGAGTTAAAGGACTCATGAGACTTCAGAGATTAGGAAGGGATTACACAGTCATATACCAGAGATTCTCTTTCCGTTGCTTCCCAGGTTGAATAAGAGCGGCAGTGGTGTGTAGCCGTTAAATGGCTGTCAAAGATTTGTGAGGCAAACCCACTACCAACAGCTGCTTTTAAGATATGCCAGCACATACACTTCTTAATAAATCTGGCTCTCACTGCCTATCTTGTGTGAATTTGCCCCCCAGTTCCTTCTTTTGCATACCCCGGGGCAGAACAGGTGGGTTGTCCGTAAGAAATAATGTGCCAGCTGGGATACAAGGTAAAATAGGTGTGTCAGGGCAGAGGACAGATATTACCTGGGAAGAAACCGAGGATGCCAATGCCAGTCCCACAACCACCATATTATTGCCTGGGGCTGAGTGAGTCCCAGCCCTGCAGAAACTCCTGGGGTGACTCTGGCCGGATTCCTCGACTTCAGAAATCTGTTTTGTCATATGTAGAGTTGAGATCAATATGCCTTTCTGCTGGGGTTGCCATAATAAATAAAAACAATGCGTGTTTCACAAGGACCAACCATATGTCTGCATACCTAAGTTGGTTGTTTACAAGACAAATCGTATATATTGAAGTTTCTACAATGATATGCAACCAAATTTGTGTAAATGCCATCAATTCGACTTAATTACTAGGTGCTAGAGCTAAAAACGCACTGATTGACCTATTCATTATTTGGTTTTGCACATGCCATTTTATAGATCAGAATACATACTGAGATTCAGAAAAAAAATGTAACTTGCTGGAGAAGCAAAACTGCTACAGGGTACAGATCATCTCAGGATTCTCCCCAGTGTGAAGCGTGCACTTGCTTACTGTACTCAGGACTTAAGAACGCAGACAAACATGTAGAACTTATACCCAGATACATGTAGACGTGCACGTGTGCAAACACCCATGAACACACGGAGGACCACATGCAAATACAAATATACACTTGCACACACGTCCACAGGAATATCAGGACACGTGTGCACAGACATCTGCGGAGGGCATCTGTTTGTGTGGATATTTGAACTACAGCTTGACATAGAGAAGAATTTCTTCTTAATATTTCTCATTTTCTCTCAGCTTAGTTTAGAGCTCTTTGGGGAAGATGCTAGGCAATTCTCTGCAGAATAAAAGGGAAGTGCTTGTTTTCCTCATTACATACATGGGCTTCTGCTATCTTATAATTTGTGACGTTGTTTAAAGAAAGTCAGTATATTACCCTTTCTTTTACCTGATAATTTGTGAAGCCCAGCAGCAGAGCTTTTTCTGAAATCTCTTTACTTTTGACATAGATTTTGTATATCTTAGATAATAAAAGAGAACCTGTCTGACTCCACCTCTCCCCATCCCACCCCCCAAAAAAAAACCTCCTTATAGCCTGGTGGTGTCTCTTTGTATGTCTTTAATTTTTCTTCATTTTAGTTTTATTGTCATTTTATTGCACAAGACAGCCCTAGGATTCACTCAGTATTGAAATTTTGGAGCTCTTGCAATGGCTGTTGTAACCCTATAGTATATCTTTAATGCTATTGTATGTTATAGCACATGTGATTTGAGCAGTGGCCCACCTACGCAGCTTGCCGAAATTAAATGTTCTGAAAAACAGCAGCATACATTCCCTATCTATTCTCCTAGAGCCAAACCACAGAGGCGATAGTGGAGGGCTGACCTCAGAGAAAACTGTGAGGAGGAGGAGGAGGAGGAGGATGGTGGTGGTCGTGGTGATGCAAAAGTGCCTAACTTTCCTCGTGTTCCATAATTGGAACTCAAAAATGCCAGTGAGATCTTCTGCAGTACAAGGGGAGGCATTCAGCTTGAGGCCAGATGGCACAGGTAGCAGGCTTCCCACGCTCGCTGTAT